GTTTCAACAATGTAGAACTCCCAACCTCCACCCTTTTTATGAGATGTACAAAAAGGCAAAAATATTATCATAGTATAGATAGATTACCTTAGATTTTTACAAGACTCCCAACCTCCACCCTTTTATATAAACAGATCTAAAACACTAATCTTAATAGTTCTTAATTCCCATTCTCCTCCCTTTTTCTTATAAAGTTTGTTCAAGTGTAAACTGGGTGAGCTGAAATAAGCCCAGCTACTTGAAGTTGATCTTTCAGTCCCGATATACTGAACAAAATACCTAAATGTTTTAAAAAGTATAAACTTTTTTATTCATAAATCCAGAAGTTTGAAATTAATTCTACTGAAAAACTGGAAACTTCGGTTTTTTCATGCCAAACCATAAAGCGACAGCATTCAAGGAGGTTCTCTTCAGTTTGTTGCAGACAATGTTGATCACAACGTTCTAACCATGGATGAATATGACATTTTTCACGGCATAGAAAGTATAGCTGTCACAACTCTAAACAACTCCAAGCCAAGACAAGTCTAATTCCACACAAACCTATAAAGAATGAAATAATCTCCATTGGGCAGATAGGCGTTTATCAATTACTATTTCAAGTTCAGGTGGAATGGCCTCTCCTCTGTGAGTGTGAAAGAGCTCCCTGAAGTTGTGCCTCCTATGAACTTGCAGTAGTTAATACTTTATGGAAGATTTCCTTTAAAATATCCAAAACCTGCCTAATCAGGTTTATACAAACAGTGCAAGATGGTGTTTATCCTTGAAAGTCTGCACATGTGCACCAGAGTAGGTCCAGCAGACTGGGTAGCATCCAGACCAAGATTTTGTCACAGTAATTATAGAGTTTTTAAACTTTAACTTGTACTTCAAAAATTGTTTCTGGGTAAATAGATAGACTTATAGTAGTATGTATGAATCAGTATAACAATGCATGATAAATTACTTTTGTAATCTGCAACTGTACATGTTTCTGATTGTTTCTAGCTATGTTGAGTATAAGTTCCAGTGAGCAATTATTTTTGTGAATCATAAATAAGTGCTTGCAAATGATTAATATTTTCAGTAAATGATAGTAAAATTAGCATAAAATTCAATCTCACAGCACCTATTTTCCAAATTTTTCCTGAGAGAGTGAGTGATGTCTTACCAATCAAAACTTGATCCGTCGATCCTTCTGTTACGACAGCTGAAGTCACGTGACGCTGGTAACACGTCATGAGTTTCTAGAAGGATCATGCCTTTTCCTAGCAACTCTAGTCTTTTCTAGGCGCCCTCTATTTAAGAATATAAGCCCGGCAAATAAAGTGGGGATAAGAATGGCAGATAGAGAGATATAGAGACAGATAATCGAGTAAAGTCGTAAGTAAAGTGCGTGAATCGTTGTGAATTATAGCATGTGTTTAATTTAAAGTGACTGTGGAAATTATGTGTATTGTAAAGTTGTATTGAGATAGAATAAGCTAGTTTTATTTAAGAAAGGACTTGTATCACTGAAGTTCCTCGGGAAGAATTTTTACGGGAAATTAACAAACGACCAGAGACGTAACAAATAGGTGTCAGAGAGTGAGACAGAAAAGAAAAAAAATGGAAACGAGAAGTGAAAAATCAAACTACAGCTTAGCAGATTTGATGGCAGGAATAAAAGAACAGCAAAAGAAACAATAAGAATGAGAAAACAAACAAGAAAAGAGATTACAGCAGTGGTTGGAGGAAAAGAAAAGAAACAAGAAGAGAGATTACAGCAGTGGCAACTGGAACAAGAAAGGAAACAGGAAGAAAATCTCCAACAATTAATGAATTAATTACAATAAAGAATGATTTACTGTCTTTTACACAAGGAGGATATTGTTGCGTCAGCGAGGTCACGTGACTAGTGTCACGCCACGTTTCTAGAACTATCTTGTTCCTTCGTGAATGCCCTAGCATTTACTAGATATATGTTTGTCTGGTATATATATAAGATGCTCACAACGTGACAACAATGTGTGTAGGTAGTGAGTAATTGAACTGCAGTCAGAAAGTATTGTTGAAGTTAACGTTCATTGTTAAAACGTTTGTTATAGAGCGACTGTTGAAAATAAGTGTATCGGTAAAGTTATATTCAGAAAGAATAAACCAGTTTTATTAAGTAAGGACTTGTGTCGCTAAAGTTTCGTCGGAACGAAGTTACGGAAAATCAATTAACAAACAGAGATGTAACAATATATTAGCCATCGATCTAATCAGCCCCAGACAATGGGAAGCCCCTTCCAGACCCTGCAGCTAAACCCTAATGTAGAAATCTTCAGTCCTGTCAGAAGTCACATCCCAGACATGATTGTCAGGAATAGGGGTGATCTAGTATGAAGGAAGCCACAGGAATTCGATGGGAAGACACCATGTGAAGCATATAGAGCACAGTTTGAGATCCTGGCAGAAATGAATGGATGGACAAAGGAGCAGAAAGCAGTGTACCTGGCAACGAGCTTGAAGGGACATCCACTGGAAATACTTGGTAAATTGTCAGCTAACGACAGGCACAACTATAGAGCACTGGGAGCTGCTTTAGAATTCAAGTATGGATCTCAAAATCAGTCCAAAGTCTACAGGGCTAGGTTTAGGATAAGAGTCCATGCTAAAGGAGAGAGCCTGCAAGAGCTTGCACAGGACATGGAAGGTATGGTACACAAGGCCTACCCAACTGCACCACCCAATGTCCTCATGCTGTTGCTGAGGGATCAGTTTGTAGACACCTTGGACATCCGCAACTGAAAATACAAGTGAAGAAAGCACACCCCTCTACTATACAAGATGCAATGGTCATAGCTTGAATTCGAATCCTATGTTAAATCCAACACAGAGGTACCAAGGTTGGTACAGTCATCAGGATTCAAGGCCAGAAAAAGGCAGCTTTCAGAGAAGTTTGAGGGACTTTGCTGGCACTGTAACAAACCTGGGCAGAAGAGAGCTCACTTGAAAAAGCCACTGTCAAAGAAGAAGCTCTACCCGGTTTAGAGAAGGGAAACAGTGAAGCCCTTGATGAAGTTACTACCACTGATGTGACTGCTACCGATAATGGGACATTTCCTGATGGAGCAGATGAGCCCAACATGAAGCAGAAGCCAACGAGACAGAGACCAGTACGGAAGAAGATAAGAAGTTGTATTGAGAAAGAATAAACTAGTTTTATTTAAGAAAGGACTTGTATCGCTGAAATTCCTCGGGAAGAATTTTTACGTGAAATTAACAAACGACCAGAGACGTAACATTTCTCTGCTGTCGTAGGTATTGTCCTGATATTACTTACTTAGCTTAGTATCTATAATTTCTGTAACAAAAATAGCATTTTGTTTGAAAATAGTATTTATGTTCTATTAGTAAAGCGCTAACTGAAAGGGTTTGAGGCAAGGTACATCGTCGCAGGAAGTATTTTTGGAGTGGTCAGGCCATTGCCACAGCTAAACAAGCACCATAGCGGTATGCAAAATATGCCATTTCTATGGGGAGTTCTGGGGGCATGCTTTCAAGAAATTTTTGAAAATTTAATGCTATGAGATTGTATCTTGAACCATGTTAACTATAAATACTGATACACACAACGTAATGTACTGAATTAAAAGAAACAAGTTTAAATACATACTTGTAGTTGTACGCGCCATAACTGGCCTTACCGATTTTTACGCCCTGAAATATCTACACCGTGTAAATATAACATATTGTTACGTCTCCGTTTGTTAATTGATTTTCCGTAACTTCGTTTGGACGAAACTTTAGCGACACAAGTCCTTACTTAATAAAACAGGTTTATTCTTTCTAAATATAACTTTACCGATACATTTATTTTCAACAGTCGCTCTATAACAAACGTTTTAACAACGAACGTTAACTTCAACAATACTTTCTGACTGCAGTTCAATTACTCGCTACCTACACACATTATCCCGTCACGTCGTGACCATCTTATATATATACCAGATCACCCCCAATCTAGCAAATGCTTTAGCACTCCCGAAGGAACAGGATAGTTCTAGAAACGTGGCGTGACACTAGTCACGTGACCTCGCTGACGCAACAATATATTATATGATTGGGTGGAGGGGAACCCAGCATTTGGCTGCAATTTAACATGTATTTACTTTCCATTGTTCACATTATCTCTAACCTACATTGATACGTAACAGTTTAAAGTTATTTTAAATACTGAGAGATATATGTTTTCGGCTTTGATCAAGAATTAAAGAAGTCCACCGATGCAGTGAATGGGTTTCAATTCATCCTGTGAAGGTGAGATTGATTTTGAATTATATTTTATTATTGTAGTACTTGTTGCTGTGAGCGTTTTTTTTTTGTGACTTTTGCAATGTTGATGCTTTGGGTTACTTTTATCACTGATTATTATTGTTTTAAATCATATGCAGTATTGTAACTCATTTCAATGTATGTGATGCAAATTCTTAAATATCATGAGATATATTTTTTAATTTAACACAAAAGCATATTTACAAATTAAAATATGTGGCTGTAATGATAGTTTTTTTAATTCTTTTCCTTTGGCCATATATATGCAAGATAATTTATATACTGTTAATTTTTATATTATTTTTGTACTTTATGCATATATTTTGTAATATTTGGAAAAGTGTTTCTTGCAAAACGGAGTAAAGTTACATATTCTCCACCTTAGAGTTTCCTAAACTTTTAAAATGTTTCAACATCTAAAACAGTAAAAACTAGCTTTAAACCAATTAGTTGAAGGATATATTTCTTTCTAGAGTGATTTTTATTGAACTAGTAGGCAAATTCTGATTTTAATGATTACACTGTATCGACCCTCAGTCTCGGGTCATCATCACATTTATCAGTGTTGATTTGTGCTAATGAGGTGAGACCTTTGTTGAACGATATATTTTACTTCGTGACAGTTTGTACCTTAGCACCTCCGTTTTTGTGATTTAAGTTTTATCTTAATTTTTTTAAAAAACAACAATGTAATGTTTGAACAACCCCATATTTTAGTCATAAGTTTATATGTATATACTGGAACATCTTGATTTACAACTTAAAAGTTAAATACCGGCAGATGTCCGTTATTATGTTGTCAATGCTCCTTTACAATGGCAAGGTACGAAGGTGGTGATGAGATGTTATCATTAGTTAATGGTTTCACAGAATTATCAGAAGAAGAAATAGAACATTTGCTATCAGTAATGATTAAGGCAAAGGTAGGTGTAAAGTTAGTACATGAGTAATAAGAGGTGTTACAACTTGTCACGGCTTACATTTACAGGCAAACGGTAAGCAATGAGTAAATAAGTATATGTATAAATAACACGGCCGTATTACTTATACTACTACTGAGTATTAGTAGTACATAGTTCAGTTGATACTGATAGCGTATAAATTAAATATAAGTTTAACAATAATAATATAATACCAAGTTACTTGCACTAGTAGCAGTATTAGTAATAGTATTACTAGTGAAATACTACTAGGTACTATTGGTATTAGTGCAGTAGGAGTAGTACTACTGTGTTATTGTTAGTGCCACTACTACTAGTACTATTAATAGTAATAATAATATACTTTCAATAGTTGTATAAAAAAGACTAGGACTAGGAACGCTAACTCGAAATGTTATCTTTCGGAAATATAAAGATGTATAACTACTATAAACTTAGCGATTTTGTATAACTTGTTCCTTATGTGTCTTTGGCTTTTTTTTGTGGTTAACTGTATTTACAACTAATGCTAAGCCTATCTTTTGAAATTTAAACTTGTTTCTAACTTCAGTAATCTTGATATCGATCATCATACAATAATACATACAACCATTGGGTCTAGGACTATGCACTTTAGTTTTAATAAACTACTACTAAGTATCTTAATTGATAATATGGTGAAAACAAACTTAGTCATGGATCCAGTCTCCTTAGTTAAGCATATTTTATTTCAGATGAATTTGACTTACTTACAATTTCTGTTCATGCTCAAGTGTGCACATGTTTAAAAAAAAAAGTGGCTGTTTCTGAGTATATGCCCTATGGCTGGGTGCTGAATAAGAGTTCAATTATTACTATTAGCCTGGCAGCCTTGTATCAGGTGAGAGTTTCATGTGGCTGGCTGTGTGATCTGAACACCAGCTCAGTTAAGTACAGTGTGAGACTTAAGCTTGTAATTTAAATTGTGCAATGAGGTTAGTGTAAAATAAATAGTCTCTTTATTCAGTTTTGCTCCCATTTTCTAAGTTGTGAACTTAAAGATCTATTTTTATTCTTTTATTAATGGTTTTCACTTTTGTCATGGCCTAAGAAAAACCTTGTTTAGTGCAAAACTCAAGTTGTGTGAAAATTTTTATCAGTGGCAGAACCAAGCCAACTGGAAAACAACCATTGTTACATACTTAATTCTTATTTAGTGAAATAATATCTTCATGTGTCAAAATTCTTGAATATCCAAACCTTCATTTAGCACCCAGCTGCAGTCCAATAACCTGGGTTGTTTAGAAATGAGAAGTATTGAAGTCTAAATTAGCCTTATATGCCATAATTTAAGTAATAGATAAAGTTATTTTTTATGGCAGGAAATATTTATGTATTTAGTTTCATCATCATTCTTTATAATTTTAACATTTAAACCCAGAGGTTTCTTTCCTGGGTGTAACACTGTAATAACATGCATAACACAAATGAGAAATTATTTTACTTTTACTCATCCTGTGTTAGTAATTGGAAATTTGTGTGTGTGTGTGTGTAATTATATCTGAAAATAAAGCAGTTTTAATAATTATTTTTATTTGTAGGTTTTGTCAAGTTATAGCTGCATTTATTTTTTATTTGCATAATAACAACACAATGATTAAGTACAACATGGGACCTATTGGTCCATCTAGGCTGTCTTATCCTCTAAACTAAGCTAAGCTAAACTAAAACGTAAATAAAAATATAAACCCTCAAAGCTAGCTCTTATCATTCATTTAGTTATCAAGCTTTTTCCTAAACTCACTTAAATTTATTGCTTGTACAACACCTGAAGGCAACCCTTTCCAAAGACCAACTGCCCTGTTAGAAAAATGTAACTGCCTTAGCTGAAAATAACTCCCACTCTGCAAAATTTTATATTTATGTCCCCTAGGCCTACTATTGTCATCATTAAGTATGAAGAAAGATGATGCATCAGAAATATTAAACACCCCAATCAGATCCTCTCTTAACTCTTCTTTTTTGAAGAGAAAACAATTTTAGAGGTCTTATCCTTTCCTAGTATGACAACCCTTCCATCCCATGTACCATTCTAGTAATTATAGGCCTATTAGTCTTACTTAAGTTGTGGGAAAAGTTTTAGAAAGTCTGACTAAAGATGATTTGCAAAGTCATTTAACAAAGTTTAGAATTTTATTGGATAGTCAATATGGATTCACTAAGGAAAAATCTTGCCTTACAAATCTTTTGACATTCTTTGAATAGGTTACTGCTTATGTAGATGGGTAAGGGTGGAGATTTGGATTTTTCAGAAAGTATTAGACAAGGTGCCACATAAAAGGCTTTTAAAAAAAAATAGCTCTATAGGTGTGGGAGATAAGTTAGAAAATTGGATGGAAGAGTGGCTGGATGGAAGAAAGCAGAGGGTTGTTACAAATGGAGTTCAGTCAAACTGGAATAATGTCACAAGTGGGGTACCTCAGGGCTCAGTCTTAGGATCTTTGCTCTTTTTGATTTACATCTATGGCACAGATGAAGGAATAGTCAATAAAGTACTTAAATTTGCTGATTATAGTAAGGTCTTGGGTATTACTGACTGTGAGGAGGATGCTGCTGATTTACAAAAGGATTCAGATCATTTAGTGAGTTGGGCAAATAAATAGCAGATGGGTTTTAATTATAATAAATGAAAGATAATACATGTGGGTTATAATTTGAATTATAAGTATAATTTAGATTGGAATAACCTTAATACTGTTACGAAGGAAAGGGATCTTGGTGTAATAGTCGATCATCCAAGCAGTGTGCTGTTGCTAGTGGTAGGGCAAATAGGATTTTAGGTTGAATCTATAGAAATATTGAATACAAGTCTAAAGAGGTTATACTTTCATTGTAAAGGTCACTGGTTAGGCAACATTTGGAATATTGTGTTCAGTCTTGGGATCCTTACCTTAGGAGGAACATTGAATTGTTGGAACGGGTTCAGAGAAGGGTTATTAGAGTGGTGCCTGGGATAGAGAGGCTGTCATACGATGAGAGGCTGAAATCTCTCAAATTTTTTTCTCTTGAAAAAAGAAGAGTTGGGGGGATCTGATTGAGGTGTTTAAGATTGTAAAGAGAATTGATAGTGTTGATGTATTATCTTTTTTTATACTTAACAATGAGAATAGTAGGACTAGGGGACACAAGTATACATTTTGGGAAGGTAGGAGTC